ACAACTGCACACACGAATATTATCACACTAGTAAACAAACGAAACGTGTTTTCAAGGAGATTGTAGAAACTGCACATATGGAAGAATGATTTGTGTTCCCCATTGATTTGATCTTGTACCCTTTTATTGTTAATCTTTTTTTAAATATTAAGATCGAGAATGTTCGATAGAGAATTTATTCCAGTCACTGGTTTGTCAACTTTGGAAATAGGTTAGGATAAACACTTGCCGCATCGAACACTAAAATTATTTAAATATTATTATCGGCCTTTATAAATCCGTAGTATTGAATAAATAACTCTGATAGTACTTAAAACACTTTGCTATGCTTATTTACAGTTGATTTTATCAAAATTTCGCTTGTTACAATGTCCCGCTCAAAAGCGAAATTAGTCGTAATTTCTGTGTATAGGCCTGGGTATTGTTTTATGAAATTCAAATTTCGATCAATTCCTAGTAAAATCGATTAAAATTACCTTATTTCACTTGGTTAGGAAAAATATAAAATTACACACGGAACACGCGTATAGTGCAATAAACTTAAAACGTTCACTCAAAACACTCAACCACGATGTTCTCCCTTTCTCTTTCTCGCTTCAAGGAAGATGGCGCATCAAATCTAGTTACTTTTCAATTCCACATGCATTTCCAAAAGTATTATTGTGAATTTTTTATTTGATTAGCAACAGATTTATTTAATCAAAATTATTAGATAAATATGTTGTCTTTTTTAAATTTATTGATATGGTTCTAATATTGAATACAAAAAACATATGAAAATAAAATTAAATATATAGGGAATTAATATCAACAATTGGTATTATGACAGGTATACAAATCTTTTCAAATTATTAAATTGTATCCTGCAGTTTCTACATCTTTTCAAACAATGAAGAACTTTATTATTTATATCTTACTTTGGTGATGAAAAAAGGCATCTTCTGCTTCTTTAATAAAATACTAATACATAATTTAACGCCATTTCAGTGGAAAAAGAAAACTGAGAAGCAACGAGTAGCTATTAAATTTAAAGCCGCTGCTCGTATTGCTCGTGTAACACACGACTTGAGTGCTATTATACGAAATGCAAACATTGCGGAAACGATTCAGGAATTAGACGAAAATGTAGAATAAAGAATATAGAATAGATTATTTTTATAGAAAACTTGTTTAGTACAGATAACATAGCGTAATATAGTACGGTAGTATGTCTCTTTGGTAGAAATTTCCGATCAAGGAATAATAAATGTAAAACGTTAATAATAGAATTTATATTACATTTATTTGTGTCTTTTTATGTAATTAATTTTTATCATCTTCCTTTCTTTTCTTCTGTCTTTCCGCGTTCAAAAGGTAAAGGGCACGAGACGAGTTCTATATTTTATCATTGCAAATGAAATTACCTGTAAATATATCGTTACAGGTATAGGTTGCCCTTGCACAAACCAAGCTTGATGTCTTCATTTAAATAACAATTTTATGGCTTGCTTTATGCAAGGGGATATCCATTTTCAGCTTACAATGTCACGTCGCGATCGAATACGTCTCGTGCCGACGCAGGCGCGATGAATTGCAACGAATTGCGACGATCATGTTTTTTTTTCTCTTCGTTTGTTTGTTTACAAATTCCAAGAGATCGACAGTACTATAATGAGCGATTAAAAAGAAATGATATTACAATCAGCGAGTGAACGTAAAATTTGAATCAGTATTGAAGTCGGATGTTTCGCGTATGAAAATTTTCGTTGATCGTTTGTTACTTTTCCACTTGCGATGTAGTAGTTAAAAATATATTGAACCGTTTCATACGGACTTAAATTATACCACGTCGATCGATTTGTATTTTTAAAAAAGTTGATATTCACATGGCAACCGAATTATGCTACCATCATGTACATCAATAATCTGTAAACAACTATTAAACGTATTTTATAACAATGTTAAACTAAACTAAAACACACCTGCATCAGAGCACATGTAATTCCAGCAGAACCTAAAGTTGTATGGCAGCTTGTTAGATACAATAAACAGCATTCTTCGTCAAAGATCATGCTCTTTACTAAAAAGTTTAGTATGGTGTGTTTTATTGATTTTGAAAATGCTGCTCATACGATATTATCAAAACATTTGATACTCGTTTAAAATTTCGATAATCAATTCACATTTGATTCCTGTGAAGTGTGTTTTCATTCAAATAAATTTGAACTTAATCTGTGATGCTGGTTCTCTTGATAGGCTTATGTAGTAGTTTTGCAGTGACTTTTTTTCATAATTTCTTAGTATCTTGTTATCGTCATTTCCTACTTTTCCTCAAAGACTGGAACTTCTGTGAAAGCATGGTAGCTTTATTTCTGATATAGGGCCTTTTTGAAATTTTATTGCATCGCACCTCCTTTTTGCTTCTGTTGCTGTTGTTGTTGTTCCCGCTGTTGTGCCTGTTGCGACGCTTCTGTGTCTTTAATGTGTTTTTCAACCTGTAGGATTGAAAACCATGCAGGTTATAGCAAATTGTCATATTCTACTTTTTTAAATCACTTACCACTTTCTTTACATGTTTATATGCTCCAGATTCTATGTTTCCATGAACGTTGTCAACTTTATATGGTGGTCTGATTGTGACATTGTCAAATACAACAATATTTACTCCATTCCACGTAATTTCTGGGATAGTTTTTGATATAGTACTGAAGAGTCTTTGTCCCTCTGGAGATACTCCGGCCTGCAGAGCCATTACCAGTTTTTTCTTCTCTTCAATTTGATTACGTACTCTTCTGTTCAGCTTTTGTAAATTAAGGCTTTGTGGTGGCTCGCTAGTGGTAGGGCTAACTTCCCGCTTTACTTGGACCTCTGATACCAAGGATAAATTTACTATGTGTACATCGTTTAACGTTGTTGATCCGCTGGATGACGGACATTCTGGTAGGCATCAGTTAAGGAATTATTGTTACCACAAAATGTGAAAATCAAACATAGTATTAATATATTCCAATCATAGGATCACCTGGCTATAAAATAAATTCTCAGGTTATAAGCATGGTTTTCTAACATTTCCCATAATACTAAAAATATTTTTATTCCTAAATCATGAAGAGAAATGAAAGTGAAAGTTTGCGTGTGAAACGTGAAAATACGTTAAAGAACATATAAGCAGAGCAATAAAAAGCAACGGAAAATCCAGCATGGTTGATTGAATGACGAAACTAACCTGACTTCGTGTAGTTGGTTAGATGATGATCAAATAATTGACAAGCGGTATTGCACGTTTCCCGTGTGAAAACACGAAACGTATCTCAGTGGTCGTTCGTTAAAATTCACAAAACCTATCATAGATAGCTCGAAAGTTATTTACACTGCGGCAATGTTAAACGAGCGACGGATGAGCGCTGCATACATGTAGTTTACGGGAAGAATGTTACTTTAAGCGAATTTATGAGAAAAGGATACTTAGGATTAGCATTTTAGTTTGTGGATCGAATGCTAACACCTCGCCTTCGATCTCCTCCTTGTAACAGGTTTTACAGGCCACCGTACTCCCGATGCTGAAACAATCGTTGGCGCCGGCCATTTTTCACTACGAACTTAGAACCGCGGACTCCCTATCGCCATCTGTTCTGATTTCAAATGTCCCTCGAAATTTGTATCACTTATACCATTTCCACTCTGGCCACCGATCTGAATCCTTCCAAGGAGAAAATATTATTATTTCAAAACAAAAAAGACGCGTTGTTAATTTATTGTCAAATAAAAGTTTAGCGCAGTGATAAGAAATGAGGTGAGAAGTTTTACAACAGTAGTTTGCTTTTTTAAGAACGCATGATTAAGATTGGAGTCCCGCTATTGTATTATAAACCCTTCTTATCAATGTTTTTTGACGAATTTTTCCTTTGAGGTGAATTTTGGGAAGGATATACTAGGGACGGAAGGTAAAAAATGAAGTAGAAACGAGAGTATTTGTTTTTCGAATTTATATATTTCCAAAACCGTATCAAGTTCGGAGGTAGTTTGATAATATAATAGCATTGTAGGGTTATTTATATTCTTAGCTTAATAATGTTATATATGTCGGAGTGTCATCGGGTGTAAAGTTGTGGGCGGCCGAGATATCTTCTCGGGAATTAGCCATGGATGCGGTACGACACGATACGGGTGCGATTTATTACGATAAGGTGGTTGTTACAATCAGTGCGATTATTTACGACGATTACGTACTCCCGAAGCAAATGACAATGGCTCCAGATTTGTTAACGAATCCACGGTACACGGGATGGCAAGTAATCGGGTCGGGTAACTTCTCTATAACTCAGTCCACAACTCGTACGACTAACTAACAAAGCTCTCCCTCAATCCCAATGAGACTGTCCTTATGTCCCCACTTCTCGGGTCAATCCTTGTTTTCAAGGAGAGTCATATAATCATTCCGTACCTCTGTCAGGTACGCGTCCCTCCCGTGACCGTGGTTATGTCCAGTGACCCGTCATGTCACCCTAAACCCGAATTAGTCATTAAGCCAAGTTGGAACATTAAAAGTTATTTTCTTATTTTTATTGCTTAAACATAAAAATCTTGATTATGATATTGGGGGTTTTCCCATCTCCGACATATATAACACTACTAAAATTTTAAAATTATCGTTTCTTTAACTATTTATTTCATAAAATCTTATATCATGTAATAATCAGATACATTTAGTAAAACAGTTGATAATAAACGATTTCGAATTTTATCATTACAATGACAATTGGAATTTAGATGGTCGATCTCCCGATAATTTAAAGAATCATAGCAAAGACAATCGTTATTTTCGAATATTAATGTTCTTTATTTGTTCATTTCTCTTTTGTTAATTTCAGATCACACAAGGCTTGGTTCGAGTGTTACGAAAAGCATCGGCTGTCTTCGTTCGGCGTTCGTAAGCTTTCGCTCTCGTTCGGGGTAAGTCGGGTTGGCGGGTAGTTTCGTGGTCGCACTCGCATGGTTTCGTCCGGCTTTCAGTTTATAGATACCGCTCTGTGAAGAAGCATCGCGACGTGATTGTCATCGAATTTCGAACTTTCTTTCGTGATTATTGAACAGTCAGCGACAGGAATTTAATAAGTGATTTCAAGCCGTGGCAGCAGACAACGTTGTGCAGTATGTCAAAGCGTCGTTTAGTTATTTTCTCCGCCATTTTACCAAGGTACTGTCTAAAGTAAACGAACCATTTTTGTTTATGTTAAATAATCGGATCATTTAATTTAAACATTAACTATTAAAGTTCATATCATAACTTGTTACTGATGATTAGATTGGGGTTAGGTTTTCTACGCATATGTAGGAAATATGAAGGTGTAGAATTACACAGATTGTACATAGAAAATATTCAATGTATAGTGCATTCTATAATACTTGATAAGTAAACAAATTTTCTAACGAGAATCTACTTCCTTTAATTATATCCTCAAAAATACGAATTGACAGAAAAACGTCAGTTTATTGATAATTTATTAGTAATCATTATTGGCTGTTTACCATGTAGTCTATATAATTTCGCAGTTTTTCAGCTTGAAAGATTTTTACATAGTATGATATCTGTTGTTGATTTTATGGCGTGAAAGCTTTTCTCGACCAGTTTAACGTCAAGATGTCAAGATAAAGCTTTTAATAGCTGTAGGGCATGTTAACACGTGAAATTTGATATACGCTGTTACTTTCGATTTCTGAAAATTTTCGCGATATAACCGCCAAACCGATTATTTCGCGATTACGTGTTATTAGTATCAAGCTAGAAATTTGCTGTTTTAATTAATTAGTGGCTCGTACAATATTGGTAGCCCGAGACACTTTAAAAGTAATTTATAAAGTAAGTATATAATAATTATCTTCAGGATCATTAGATTTCTATCGAATTATCCCCAATTAGAAGTCGTGTGTGTTAAATTTAATTAATGAAATACCCCGAGTTTTTAACATCAAACGTATGTTGTATTCTCTTTTTCGAAGATTTCGTTTTATTTTCACACCACTAAACGAGAGAAATTTCATGAAACCGCGTTAGCCATCTGGCGTTCTCAGAAGCTCGAGGTCGACGAGAAAAGATTTTTTTTTTTCAAGGGTGTAATAATGCTCCAGGCACGGTTCGCGAATAAGAACTTTAGAAAAACAGGGCGGGTTTTGTGCGTATTTGACATTGGAGTTACGCTTGATGGATACACGCTTGTGTATATTATTGTACGAATGTAAATAAAATAGCGTGATGGAGTGGAGTCGAGTAAGTTGCAGATTAAGATGGAAAGAAATAAAAACACGAAAACATTGAAACTCTGTACACTTGAGCGATCACCACAGTAAAAATTATTATTACATTTCCTTTTCACTTTAAGATAATATCAAAAAGGGAGAGAAAATATGATACATATATTATTTTACTACTACTATATCATATTTCCTTTATGTTTTCTTAAAGTATTATTACTACAGTTTTATTTACTTCATAATCCTTGCGTCAGGATGACCCAGTTTTATAGCATAAAGCTATAATATATCTTAATCGCTTGTTATATGTCATATTGCATCATGTTCTATATTCATCTACTTACAGTTACAAAAGGATCTTCATACACCTTACAAAAATGTTATTTTTGTTTAAATGAAGCATATACTATCATGTATAATAACACATTTATTCCTTAACACGTAAAATAATAATAGAAGAGGCTTTAGTCTTCTTGCAGTGAAATTTAGTACAATTTTATTCTAATAAAAATTGTATAGGATGTACGAAGATTCGTGTGACTGACTGTAGTACGATTTCTATCCTATCATCGTCCAATTAATACTATTTTGTATGTCGTAGATATCGATCTTCGAATAATTTGTCGTATCTTGTTATTTTAGTATTCTCCTCTTTTTTTTTATCTATAAATGCTTGTTTTCTATACCTGATATGAATATTTCCTTTGTTTACGACAATTCAGAGCTTAATTCTGCATAAACTATGTTTTTCGTTATCTCTTATCAGTCGTACGAGACATTAGAAAATTATAGCTATTTGCAAGTTTGTGGGATATCGAAATTAATTTGTCAAATACTAAGAACTCGGTGCACGCTAGATTTGCATTCTGATTATATTTACAAATTGTTGTTTCTCTTTGGGAAACTCACGATTGTTGTTGGCTTCGGATGAAGCGTGATTGAAATTGTTTCGGAGTTTTGTTTTCTGTACGAACTTCGTAGCTTTGTTGTCTTTGCCAGCTAATCACGTGGAATACCGTAACCACAATGAGAGATTACCAGACGAACCAGATTCATTCGATAAAGTTCCATTGATCGTACTTTCCCAATATTCATCGTGAAAACTGTCCCAATTCCAATCGAGTTTTAAAACTTATCCAATATCGATTAAAATTTTGATCACATTTATTAAATTGCTATTTTATCAAACCACTTTATATTCTATTTATATTAAATCGTGGAAATTTCGTTTCATTTTAATTATATTTGGAAATTATACCAGATTAATTAAATTAGCTGATGCATGGAAAAGAACGTCTGCGAAAGCTTTCATTTCATTTCAATTTTTCTATTCTATTGCTTAATCTTCGTGTTTAATCCTCTCAAGAATAAAATATTTTTACTTTTAAACTTTCCGCTTCGCCTAATTAACTTTAAAGTTGCTCGAATGATCCGAGTCTCCGATACGTTGTACATAGGCGATGAGACATTTATTACACTAATTGACGGAAAAATTCTTCGCTACCTAGAACTCCAAGCAAGATAATAATGCTTAAGAAGTTGGTAATTTCTTGGTGATTCTTCAGATTTGTTTCACTTCAGTTAATTCCGACGGCGAAGGCACGATGATCTTTGACTCGTGCGTATTTATTTTACGTTTATTATTTTCCCTATATCTAACAACTATCCGTCTTCACATAATATTCGTTGAAATATAAAATTCATGTCAACTTGTACAGACCCCAAAAAGATTAGCAAGAGAGAAAGAAGCAAGTTAAAAGATAAAAAATCCTTATCATAATCGTTTCTCAGCTTTATTGGCATAGAACGAAGTAAAATAGGGTGCGTATTTGATGCTCGTCGCCAATTATCCAACCTCCACTGGGCAATGGTTAACGCGGAAAGTAGATTAAGTTACTCGTAACGTAACAAATCAAGGACACACGACACAATCGTATAATTAATTCCCTGGTGGTCGTCGATGTGCATATCTCGATGGACGTTCGATCTACGGCGTTTTCGATAATACGCGCGTATCTCATACCCTCCGATCCTTCCTCGTTCGATTGGGTCTTCCGCAGTACTGAGAATTCGTTTGTGTCTCCCCTCTACGGAAACGTAAACGCGGACAGTACAGAGAATATTGGGAAACGGCCGTGGTTACGTGGAATATGTGATAAATGGGAAAATGATGCATATCGCGAGCTAGGCGTAGCTTCTCTGCAGAGACGTAAATTATTCGCTAGCGTTTTACTCGTAGGACGGCAAATAAATTTCCACGCTTTACCACTCTCGTTTTTCATAAATCTCCGACGTGACTTTGAAATCGGTCTGCTTTATTACGTGTGCGCGGTGTTGATGATGCGCTGGCCGATAGGAATCACGTTATTCGGTAATCGATGCAAATATATCGCTCGAGAGCATCGCTTTATCGTCTGTAGCGTACGACGCTTCCCGTGACGAGTCAAGAGCAATTCCCTCGTCAATCGAGACATGGAAACGAGCTTTTATTTAACGAGTTGCGCGATTCTACTTGAAACTATTCGGAACAGTTAGACGATTGCGTTCGGGTAACAAAGTACTAGGCTTCTCTGAATGTTCTGTTTCATGCCTGATTGAAGTGCACGAGAATCATTTATTGCGAATATCTGCGAAATAACGGAACGCAATATTCCTACGAATATTATTTCTAGTTGGCCATTAAACGTGGTAATGGAAGAGAAATATCCAGATAAAATTGTCAATTAAAAAGTGTCGTCTCTGTATAAAACGGTACACCAGACCAAAAAGCTGTAATTATGTAGTTGAATCGTTCTATTTCTTCGTTTCATTTTCGTGTTCATAAAACGTTTTTCAATATGCAGAGCATTTATACGCGCGATCAACGAGATAAGTAATTTATTGTACTTCTGCAGCAAACAATTTGCGGTTATCGAAGGAATATCGAACGATGAGATGGATTATGAAAATGATTTTATAGCACGCAAATTGGAAATTTCGAAGTTTTTCATTAAATTAGGAAAGATCATGCGTGTGTGAGTTAACGGAGAAAGGATGAATAAATCATCGTATTGAAACTTTGACCTCGATCAACAATACAAAAAGAAGTCGACAACAGAAAAACTGGAAATGTCATTAATTGTTGCTAAAGGTGTGGAATCGGTCTCATGAAAGATGCAGGAAACTTTTTGTAGATCGTTGAATCTCTCGAATACGTTTTTACCGCGATTACTATTGGCAAACTCGATAGGTATAAAGGTAGATCGCACGTGTCAGAGGCTCGTAAATAGAATCTCGCGTAAGTGTAGGTTGAACACGTGTGGTACCTGGTCCGGCAATCATAAATCAGAAGAACGCGTATTTTCCACCATTGTGCGATCGTCTTTTAGCTAAATATCAGAAGCAGGCCGAACTGGGAACTTTTTCCTGACTTTTACAATCCGGTAACCGAAATTCTCCGAGGAAACATTTTTCTTGATGAAGTATTTTCGAATTTCCGAATATCTCGTGTCCTCGACGATATTGTCAAACTTCAAAGATTTATATCGAAATAAATATCTCTTTCTTTGTAATTTATTTCTTCCACGTCGTTTCTCTAATTTATTCCGCGTTTTAGTTCGTCATTTATTTTCGGTTTGGAGATCCAGCGTTTCATTTGCAATTTATAGTAAGCAAATAATAGCATTTCGAGCAAATTATATATGTCAGAGATGAAAGGACACCGGAGCCTTCCCTCTGGAATTTCGGGAAAATCCGTAATTGTAATCAAAGCTTACAGTTATAATTAAACAATTTGCCGTCATTCTGCCTAATTGTACTTGTTCGCGATTTGTGACAATAAACTTGGGCTCGAGGCGACCATCAGCCGCTGAACGTAGCCGTGGTCAACGGGACTGGCGCTTCATCTAACAAACGTATGGAGCGATAGTATGACTCTCGTTAAAAGAAATACCCATAGAGGTACCT